AAAAAAAAAAACAAAAGTGGAGCCTAATTCTGTTCCCTGTGAGTGTGGGCTGGGCCGAGTGCGCTGTTTCTTACAAACAAAATATTGTGTCCAACACTCTGAGACTCGGTCACAAAAGTCACCGTGGCCTCCCTGCTCTCTCTCAGATCACTCACTCTGGAGGAAGCCAGCTGCCGTGTTTCGAGAACACCCAAGGAGCCCAGGTGGCGAGGAACTAAAGCCTCCAGCCGAGAGCCATGTGGGCGGGGCTTCTCCAGTCATCACGATTCCGTTTTGAGAGGCGCTCTCTCTGCCTGCCGTGTGGACAATGGACGAAACGGCAGAGGTGAACGTACGCCCCCTTGGGAAGCAGCCACTGCCGTCATCCACGTAAGCACTGATGGTGGCCTGGATTCGGGTGGTGACAGGGGAGATGGAGAGAAGTGGGCAGGTTAACAGAGTTGCTGAAGAAGTAAAACAAACAGAATTTGAGGGAAGAAGCGACTCAGGTAACTTCATCCACGTGGGAGCTGAGGACTGAACCGGCGGTGCAGGGTGGGGAGAAGGTGACGTGACAGGTTTGGCTGTGGCCACATTGAGTCCATGCCCCCCAAATGTCCAAAGGCCTCCATAAATATAGCTACTTGTATGATAAGAGTAGACGAGGGGCGCCTGGGCGGCTCGGTCGGTGGAGCGGCCGACCTCGGCTCAGGTCACAGTCTCACCGGTTTGTGAGTTTGAACCCTGCATCAGGCTCTGTGCCGACACAGCGCGGAGCCTGCCTCTGATTCTCTGTCCCCGCCCCCCCCCCCCGCACCTCCCCTGCTTGTGCTCTCTCTCTCTCTCTCTCAAAAACTAAACATTACAAAAATAATCAGAGTAGCAGACGCGGAGAAATCCTAGGGTACACCAATGGCTGGAATAAGCAAATTTCAACTTGTTATGTATTTATTGTTATTTGTTGTTTATTCCATAAAGTTTTATTCCTTGCGTTTGCACCAATCAAGCGCGAATCAAGTGTCCTGGGGCAGCACCCCTCCAAACACTCCTCTGCAAGCAGCTGGCAAAAGGGGAGAGAGAGAACAAGGTTCCATGGCAAGTTTGTAGCGTGGATCTGGCCCTGAAGTGACTTCCGTCGCTTAACCAGATCAGTCACAGGGCCATTGGCCATGATCATCTTACCTCCCATTGGCCAGGCCAATCACGTGGCCACACCTAACTGCAAGGGGTACTGGGAAGTGTAGTCCAGCCATGTGCCCAGGAGGAAGTAGGAAACCCTGATGGAAAATGAGCCAGTCCTTGCCAGGGTCTTATTATTGTCCCCATCATTTCTGTTATTATTTGCACTTATCGTCTGCAGAAATGACGCTTGATGGTCACCCATATTTCAGGACCCGAGGAGGGTGAGAGGTGCTGCCTGGTATGTCTGGAAGGCTTCCTGAAAGAGGAGGTATGGATGATGTGGCTTTGAAGAAGACAGAAGCCAAAGATCTGAGAAGGGGGAGAAGAATAAGAATCTGGCGTGACATCAGGGAAGTCGTTCCTTCGTTCCTGGCCGCGCGGAGCCTGGTGGGCCAGGGTGAGTGCCAAGGGGACCAAAGGGACCGAAGTGCCTGATTTGTGTTCAGAGTCTCCTGGTTGCTTGAGGAAGCAGATTGCCAGATAAGATACAGGACACCCAGTTAAACCAGAATATCAGATAAACAACGCATGATTTTTATTTATTTATTTATTTTTCAACGTTTTTTATTTATTTTTGGGACAGAGAGAGACAGAGCATGAACGGGGAGGGGCAGAGAGAGAGGGAGACACAGCATCGGAAACAGGCTCCAGACTCCGAGCCATCAGCCCAGAGCCTGACGTGGGGCTCGAACTCACGGACCGCGAGATCGTGACCTGGCTGAAGTCGGACGCTTAACCGACTGCGCCACCCAGGCGCCCCACAACGCATGATTTTTTTTAAGCCTAAGTATATCCCAAATACGGCAATGGGACGTACTTATGCTAAACTATTACTGTCCTTCTGGAATTCAAATTTAACGAGGCATCCTGGAGTTTTATTTGCGGGGAGGACAGAATGTAGGAGAGGTCAGGTGCTGGTGACTGATGGTCATGGATGTGACATGGGCCCGATGTGCAGGCCATATGCCCGGAGGACTTTGACGTCTGCCCTGAGAGGGGTAGCCCTGGGAGGCTGTGAGTGTAGGAGGGACAGGCCCTGACTTGGGTAAGGGGCCCTCAGACCCAACCCCGGGACTTGGCAGCCACCTGCCCCCATGGATTTCCCCAGCCTAGGGCCTTTCCCCTTCAGCAGGGCTGACATTTGGGGCCAGATCATTTTTTTTTTTTTAAGTTTTTATTTAAATTTCACTTAGTTAACATACAGTGTGATATGAGTTTCAGGTGCACAGGATAGTGATTCCACACTCTTGTACATCACCCAGTGCTCATCACGACAAGTGCACTCCTTTGTCCCCATCACCTATCTCACCCATCCCCCCACCCCTACCCCGTGGTAATCAGCAGTTTGTTGTCTGTAGTTAAGAGTCTGTTGGGGCCAGATTTTCTTGATTGTGGGGGCAACCCCGTTCACTAGGGATGTTGAGCCGCATTCCTGACCCCCGCCCACTCAACGCTGCCGGGAGCACTCGTAGTCATGACAACCACAAATGCCCCCAGACCTCGCCCAGTGTCCCCTGGGGGCAGAGCCACGCTGGGTGAGACTCACTGGGTTAGGGGATTCCATTGACCTCCAGGAGACTCTGCATCCCATAATCATCTGACCTACTGAGGTCCTGGGATACCGCACACATTTATACGCACGCATCAAGGGGCACCTGGGTGGCTCAAGGGACACCTGGGTGGCTCAGTCGGTTAAAGCGTCCAACACTTGGTTTCAGCTCAGGTCATGATCTCATGGTTCGTGGGTTCGAGCCCCGCATTGGGCTCTGTGCTGACGGTGAGGAGCGTGCTTGGGACTCTGTCTCCCTCTCTCTCTGCTCCTCCCCTGCTCTCTCTCTCTCTCTTTCTCTGTCAATAAATAAATAAATTAATAAGTAAACATTTAAATACACACAACAAGCGGGAGGGAGAGAGGGGGTAACTCACAAACACTGGAGGGGTCACCCCGATTTGCACCGCCTGACCCATCGGGGATTTATTCTGGTGTCCAGTGTGAGCTACGGATGAAACTCAATTTTACGCCCAAATGGTGAACGCAAGGTTTCTCCCCCTTGGCACTGTGGACCGTTGGGGCTGGGTCATCCTCTGGGGCCCCCCTTCCCCCCCGCCATGCTCGGAGTAGCCCCTGTTCCCCTCCTTGGGGACAGCCCTTACGACTGCTGGTTGCCCAGAGGGCTGAACCACCCCAGCCGCGGACCCCAGGTCTAGGCACTCTAAGAGCCCAGCAAGGAAATGGGTCTGGGGCGCCAACCGGGGCGGGGACGACTGCCGAGTCTTGTCCCTTCCCCTGGTCTTCTGGCCATCGGGAGAAAGCGATACCTAAGTGGCTGCGGTGTGAGAAGGAGGTTCAGGCATGTCCCCCCCCCCATCCACCGTGACTCATCTGAAGCCTGTCTTATGAGACAAAGAAAGGGCTGCTCATACCGTCCAATAAAACTTTTAATATTTAGAAGTTTGGGCGCTTAATTCTGGCACTCCTGGCTCACAGGTAACGCTGCCCCCTCCAGCGGCTGGCAGCCGGCGGTATCCACGGGCGCACCGGTGACGATGATGGGAACCTTGGCCTTCACACAGGTCAGGGACCACGGCAGATGGACCGTGCTGACCAGCTCATAGCGGGTGCTCATGATCTCGCCGCCCCGGGTGCTGCTGCTCACGGACAGCAGCTGCGGGAGGTTGAGGGTGCTGACGATCTTGGTGGTGTCGAAGGGCGCGATCTGGGTGTTGGCCTCCTGCCGGAGCAGCTCACTGCTGTCCTCCCGCGACCGCCGCTCCGCCTTGGGGGTGAAGCCCTCGTACCGCACGTGGGCGTAGAGGGCGAAGACGACCGTCTTGATGCGCTTGCCGGTGTGGTTGCCGATCTCCGTGGTGAAGACAATTCCCTCCCCCGGTGCGAAGGTGTTCTTTTCCATCTGGATCTGAAGGCGGATGGTACCCTGGATGCAGCAATTGTACGAGACTTTCTTCTCAGCCTCCACGAACAGAGGGTTCTGGAATTGGGGAGGATGGGCAACCGTGAGGGGTCACGGCCACGGGATCCGCTCGCCTGCCTAACGTTCCTCCACCATAGCTCCTGCAAGCCTGGAACCGCTGGGACTCTCCTAACTAGGAGGCCCCGAGGTAGGATCTGGAGCCTTGGGGATTTAGCAGCCAAAAGCCTGGCATCGCCTCCCAGCTTCCTTTACTCAATTCCCTTTGCCTTTCTATCAGTTTCCTCCTCTGCAAAAGAAGCCTTTGAAATCCACAAGACCCTGGTTTACCCCCACCTCCATTGCTTACTTGCTGTGTGACCCTGAGTAAGTGGCTTGACTTCTCTGGACCTTGGATTCTTTCTTTCTTTCTTCCTTCTCTCTTTTTTAATGTTTATTTATTTTTGAGAGGGAGAGAAGACAGAGCATGAGCAGGGGAGGAGCAGAGAGAGAGGGAGACACAGATTCGGAAGCAGGCTCCAGGCTCTGAGCCGTCAGCACAGAGCCTGACGCGGGGCTCGAACCCATGAACTGTGAGAGCATGACCTGAGCTGAAGTCGGACACTTAACCGACTGAGCCACCCAGGAGCCCCACTTCGTTTCTTCTCTTAATGTTTATTTTTGAGAGAGAGAGAGAGAGCACGCCCATGTGAGCAGGGGAGGGGCAGACAGAGAGGGGGACAGAGGATCCCAAGCAGTCTCCGTGCTGACTGCAGAGAGCCCGATGTGGGGCTTGAAGTTTCAAACCGTGAGATCATGACCTGAGCTGAGGCGGGTGCTCAACCACCTGAGCCACCCAGTCGCCCCTGGTCATTGGATTTCTAGACCACAGGAAATGTCTTGCCAGAGACCTAGGGTTTACCCAAGTAGTTCAGACTTTAGGAGAAAATATTCCGGGCTCTGAATCACGAAAAGAAAACTGTAGAGTTGAAATTATGTAACGTGTTTCAATAAATGCCTCGAAAGGCGGCCGTTCTATCAACTTAGCTGCTGGGTTGCAGATAAAGTCACACATTATATTTACTGCGTGGCTTGGGTGACGTTTTACTTTTTATTTGTGAACAATATTCTAAAGGATTCAACGTGATGTGGGGTGGGCTTAGAATAATCGCTCTCCACTTTTGCTGGCTTCCGGTATCTTCTTGCAGAGGAACTTGATACTTTTACAAGTGTGTGTGTGTGTGTGTGTGTGTGTGTGTGTGTGTGTGTGTTCCCCTTCAGCATACCAAACAGAGAGAGAGGAAAAAAATCGTGCAAAAAATACTTGCAAACGCCCCTCCCACTCCCCATTAGTGACATCGAGTTGGTCGCTTGAAGCTGGCTCTGATGGGAGTATTTTCACCAGGGAAGTTGGTAAACATTACACATCAGGGCTGCCCCCCTGGTCGCCCCGCTGCCACGTTCCCACAGACCTGCTTCATCAGCGTTTACAAATTCTCCTGATTTGTTCCAGATCGCTGCTCATTTAAGGAATAAAATACCAGGGGGCGCTTGGGTGGCTCAGTCGGTTGAGCACCTGACCCTTGATTTCGGCTCAGGTCACGATTTCACGGTTTGTGGGTTCGTGCCCCGTGTTGGGCTCTGTGCTGAGTGTGGGGCCTGCTTGGAACACTCTCTCTCTCTCTCTCTCTCTCTCTCTCCTGCTTGAGTACACACTCTTTCTCTCTCAAAATAAATTAACAAACTTAAAAAAAAATTTTTTTTTAACGTTTATTCATTTTTGAGAGACAGGGAGAGACAGAGCATGAGCGGGGGAGGGGCAGAGAGAGAGGGAGACACAGAATTGGAAACAGGCTCCAGGCTCTGAGCCGTCAGCACAGAGCCCGACACGGGGCTCAAACTCACGGACCGCGAGATCATGACCTGAGCCGAAGTCGGCCGCTTAACCGACTGAGCCCCCCAAGCGCCCCTAAATTAACAAACTTAAATAATAAAAAATTTAAAAATATATCAGTGTCGCACAACTATGTGAATGTATTTGATACCAATGGTTAAGTGGTAAATTTTACGTATATTTTACCACAATTTAAAACAAAAAAAATAGGGGTGCCCGGGTGGCTCCGTCGGTTAAGTGTGCGACTCTTGATTTTGGCTTGGGTCCTGATCTCATGGTTCCTGAGTTCGGGCCCCGCATCGGGCTCCACACTGACAGTGTCTCTCTCAAGGTAAACAAATAAACTCCGATAAATAAAATAACAAATAAAACCAAGCTCTAGTTGACGCCCCCATGGGCCCCTCCCCAATGCCATCCTCCCATCCCTGGCCCTCTTCATCCTGAAATGGGGGGTTTATCATATCAGCGGATATTTACTTATTTATTTATCTTAAATTTTTTTAAACATTTATTCATTTTTTTTTTTAATTTTTAACGTTTACTTGTTTTTGAGACAGAGAGAGACAGAGCATGAACGGGGGAGGGTCAGAGAGAGAGGGAGACACAGAATCTGAAGCAGGCTCGAGGCTCTGAGCTGTCAGCACAGAGCCCGATGCGGGGCTCGAACCCACGAACCGTGAGATCGTGACCTGAGCCGAAGTCGGACGCCCAACCGACCGAGCCACCCAGGGGCCCCTATCTTAATTTTCTAAAACATTTATTCATTTTTGAGAGAGAGAGAGTGTGAATGGGGGAAGGGCAGAGAGAGAAAGCGCTGAAGTCGGGTGCTTAACCGACCAAGCTACCCAGGCACCCCATATCTGCAGATTAAAAAAAAACTCAGACACAGAACACCCCACAAAGCAAATATGCAACTGTGAATTAATATCAAGTCAACTCGCTTGTAACCTCCCTCCAAGAAGAAGAAGGAATTTGCTAGTTTTTTCCCCAAAGTCCCTCACACTTGCCCAGGCGGCAACCCCACCTGCAAAAGGCAATATCCTGAATTTCACGGTGATCAGTTTGTTGTACCTACACATTTGTTCTCCTACGACATACACAGAGGGACCTACGCCAGATTATTGTCTCAGAAAAAAGTGTGTAAAGAATCACATAGCGGGGCGCCTGGGCAGTTCAACTGGTTAAGTGTCCAGCTCTTGGTTTCAGCCCAGGTCATGAGTTCACGGTTCATGAGTTCAAAGCCCGCACTGGGCTCTGCGCTGAGAGCACACAGCCTGCTTGGGATTCTCTCCCTCCCTCTCCCCTGCGTTCTCTCTCTCTCTCTCTCTCTCTCTCTCTCTGTCTCAAAAATAAATAAATAAACTTAAAAAGTATTTTTTTTAGAAAGAATAATGTAACAAGCACAAGTGTGTCTTCTAACCAGTGGAAGAAAGGAAACGTTACTGATTTGACTGAAATTGGGTGACTTTTGGGTGTTTTGCCCCATTTTCCTCTCTCCTTTTCCAGGCTGGCATCTCTCATTTTCGTATGAAAATACCCAGCATACCCAGCACGGGGCTTGAACTCACAACCCTGAAATCAAGACCTGAGCTGATAGCCAGAGTCAGATGCTCAACCAACCGAGCCACCCAGGTGCCCCTCATGTCAACTTTCATATCACGTAGAAATGCATCTGCTCGTGGGAGAAGTATACAATCCTGTTTTACATATCTTAGTGCTTTAAATAAATCAAGCTGTCCACGTTCTCCAGCAACTGGCTTTTCTAGCTCAGCATTCGGGGCTCGAGATACATTTGTATCAACACACCTGTTGTTCTGGTTTGTTTTCACCATGGCCACTGAGCGTGTCGCAAAATAGTTTATAGTTTATTTCTTCAGGCAGCCCCCCTCTACAAGATGGATGTTTACATAGTTTCTATGTGTTAGGTGTCAGAAAAGGGCTAGAAGGAACATCCAGACATCCAGACGACCTTTCTTCTTGGACTTAACACAGGAGAGTTGCTCTCCGCCACCAGCTGGCAAACGTTTTCCATAAAGAAACTGGTGACAAATATTTTAGGCTTTGTGGGCCACGTACAGTACCTGTCATATATACTTTCTTCTTCTTCTTTTTTTTTTTTTAATTTTTTTTTTCAACGTTTATTTATTTTTGGGACAGAGAGAGACAGAGCATGAACGGGCGAGGGGCACAGAGAGAGGGAGACACAGAATCGGAAACAGGCTCCAGGCTCTGAGCCATCAGCCCAGAGCCCGACGCAGGGCTCGAACTCACGGACCGTGAGATCGTGACCTGGCTGAAGTCGGACGCCTAACCGACTGCGCCACCCAGGCGCCCCCTTCTTTTGTTTTTTAAACCATAACTCATGGTCAAATCGTAGATTTCAGGGGCGCCTGGCTGGCTCCTTTGGAAGAGCGTGTCACAAACACATAGATTTTAATATCGTGACAGAGAATACAACCTGTGTTTGCATCTACGTCTAGGTCTGTGAAAGAGACATCGTGTCATGAACTAATACTTACCCATGACACATGCCTGCTGGTACTTTCTGTTTTACTATATTCTACTTACTGTATTCGTTTAAAAATGTTCGTCACAGGGGCGCCTGGGGGGCTCAGGTCGTGATCTCTCGGTTCATGAATTCGAGCCCCGTGTCGGGCTCTGTGCCGACAGCTCAGAACCTGGAGCCTGCTTCGGATTCTGTGTCTCCCTCTCTCTCTGCCCCTCCCCCGCTCACCCTCTGTCTCTCTCTCTCAAAAATAAATGAAAATGTTAAAAAAATATATTTTTTCAAAAATATATTCATCGCAACCTTCTGAATTCATTTTCCCATTATGCTTAGTGGACTTACTTTATTCTATTATTTTGCTTCATATAAAAACAAAATTTAGGGGCGCCTGGGTGGCGCAGTCGGTTGAGCGTCCGACTTCAGCCAGGTCACGATCTCGCGGTCTGTGAGTTCGAGCCCCGCGTCAGGCTCTGGGCTGATGGCTCAGAGCCTGGAGCCTGTTTCCAATTCTGTGACTCCCTCTCTCTCTGCCCCTCCCCCGTTCATGCTCTGTCTCTCTCTGTCTCAAAAATAAATAAACGTTAAAAAAAAATTAATTGGGGCGCCTGGTTGGCTCAGTCAGTTGAGCGACCGACTTTGGCTCAGGTCATGATCTCACGGTTTGTGAGTTCGAGCCCAGCGTCGGGCTCTGTGCTGACAGCTCAGAGCCTGGAGCCTGTTTCGGATTCTGTGTCTCCCTCTCTCTCTGACCCTCCCCAACTCGTGCTCTGTCTCTCTCCGCCTCAGAAATAAATAAACATAAAAAAAAATTAATCGCCACCCACCAACCATATTTTCTTCATTTCCGATTCTACTCATTTTATTCTCTGTTGTTTTCTTCTATTTAAAACACACACACACACACACACACACACACACACACACACACACACACACAATGTTTGCAACCCCCCAAATTGGCTTTTTTCTAATACTTTCCATTTTGGCCTTATGTATTCTTGCATTTTATACAAATGAACTGGCATCCCATTAAATTGATTTTCCAACCCATGAATGGGCGTGGTCTGAGGCTTGGAAAACACCGGTCCGGATAGGATTGCTTTCCCTTGGAGACCTAGGGCTGACCCCTGACCCCAGGTGACCTCACCTCTACCCTCAGCCTCTGACCCCCTGCCTCCTCCTCCCTCTCCCGCCTCCCTCTCCTCCAGGAGGCTAATTGCAGGCAGTTTTATTCTAAATCCCTCCAGTCATTCATTCGAAAATTCCTCGCATGCGTTAGAACCCTGCAGGTGTTAAGGAAGTGGCTGCCCTAACTCAAGGCCAAGCCTGTACCTCTGGCCTGTGGCTGAGAGAGGGGCCAAGAAGTACCAACGATGGCCCAGTGGCCTCCCACGCTAGGTCAGGCAGGGTGGCCAAAGCCCTCTGATACCCAATAATGTTGAGGGTACAAGCCCCACATTGGATTTCCCGGATCTGGGAGTGTCTTAGAGCCCCGCATTCCTTTGCCATAGGTGAGCCTCTGGGGGTGGGGGGTGGGGGGATTCATCCAACCAGTATTTGTTTGCATCGATTTAGTGCCAAGTTCAAGGAAAACCCATAGCAGTTAAGACAAGCCTAGTCCCAGGGCGCCTGGCTGGCTCAGCCAGAGGAGCGTGTGCCTCTCGATCTTGGGATTGTGGGTCCGAGCCCCAGGTTGGGTGTAGAGATTACTTAAATTAAAAAAAAAAAAAAAAACAAACACTTAAAAAACCTAAAAAAGAAGTAAGACCAGCCCAGTCCCTGCTCTGGTGGAGGCGGCGGGGGGGTGGGGGGCATGAGCGCATAACAGGCACATTGAAAATGAACCAGGTCATTTCCGATGAGGCTGTGGTGGGATGCAAAATGGCCGGGGGGGTGGGCAGGAGTGAAGGAGAGGTGGGTGGGGGCTCGCTTAGAGTCAGTGGTTAGGAAATGTCTCTGGGACAAGTTCCTTTTCCAAACGGTACTGACTCCTGGAAAGAGGCAACGGGGTCCCATCTTTCAAGACTCTTAAAGGTACAAAGAGTGGAGAGGAGGTGAAGAGATCAGAGCCCTCGAGCCTGGCTAAAGGGAACGGGAAAACAGGGCAGCCACTGTGGAAAAACAGGCTGGCGGTTCCTCAAATGTTAAACAGACTCGTCATCTGACCCAGCAATGCCCCTCGAGGTATCAGGCCAAGAGAAACATGCAAAACTTTGTACGACCTGTGCAGTACCTTGACTCTATGCAGCCGAGAAGTGGAGGAAGACAACCCAAGTATCCATTAGTGCAGGAATGGATACACAAAATCGGGTCCCATCTGTGCCCTGGAATATTACTCAGCCATAAAAAAGGATACATCACAGACGGAGCCCGCACAAAGGCGAGCGGGTGGGAGATAGCTGACACACAAAGGCTCCGGACCCTACGATTCCATTTTCATGGAATGTCCAGCACTGGCAAACCCAGGGAGAGAGGAAGCGGATCGATTAGTGGTTGCCAGGGGCTGGGGGAGGGGATGTGGGGAGTTTGAGGGGTGACAGCTAAGGGATGTAAGATTTCATTCTGGGGTGACTAGAACGTGCTAAAATCGACAGAGGGGCCGGCTGCACAACTCTGTGAACACACTAAAAGTCATTGAATTTGCGCACTGGAGGAGGGCGATTATAAAGTATGTGAAGTATATCTCAATAAAGCTGTTTTTTTTTTTTTTTTTTAAGTGGAAGGGGAAAATCTCTGCCCCTCCCCCCTGCCCAGCTCCCCTCCCAGGGGGGCAGTGGCTGTTTTGTCAGTTTCTCTGGCCTCCTTCCGGAGAGTCGTTTGCTACACCTGCAAGGAAGTGTATTTCACGCTCTCACCACCGGGCTGCCGCGGGGCTCGGGGTTCTGAGCTGCGCAGCGCTCACGCCACCCCGGGACTGACGCGTCCTTGTCCGGTCTTTGTTTCTCTTTAACTTTTCCGTAGAGTATACCTTGGACAGCACCCTGCCGGTTTCATTCTCCTAGCAATGAGCATTTAGGCTGATTCCAATTTTTTTTCTTTTTTTTTTTTTTGCCACCAAAACATTGCTGTAGGAGGTCACGTCACGCGTGAAAGAATATCAGTAGGAGAAATTTCTAGAAGGGCAGTGGCTGGGACAAAGTGCATGTTCACTTTCCTTTGGATAGATGCAGCTCAAGTGCCCTCTGTTGGGGTTGCGACAGTTTATTCAGTGACTACGTGGCCTCGGAGCAGAGATCCGAGGGATGAGGAGGAAGGAGAGGAAGACCATATCATAGTGTTCCAGGCGGAAGGCACAGCCCGTGCAAAGGCCCTGGGGCAGGCCCAGGCCTGGAGTGTGGGCCAAACATTGAGGAGGCCCATTTGGCTGGAGCAGAGGGAGCAAAGGGGAGGGAGGGCAGAGGGGAGGGCAGGGTGGGGATGGGGCAGGTCACTCAGGGCCTTGTGGGCAGCGGGGACTTTGGCCTTTACCCTGAATGAGATGGGACACGGGGAGGGCCGTGGGCAGAGGAAGGTCATCACCTGACTGCCTCTGGCTGCTCTGAGGGCAGACTGGGGTCAAGAATCTGTCTGTACCTGGTTGAGCCCCATCACTGCTCACTGCACCAGAGAGGTAACCTCTGCCCCAGTGCCCCAGCTCCTGCCCTCACCCTGCCGCCTCTTGTCTATCCTCCCCAAAGCAGCTGAAGGGAATGAAATGATGACCCCCTGCCCACCAGGGCTCCCACCTCCATCAGAGGTGGGCCTTGTGCCCCAGGGCCTTTGCACGGACTGCTCCCTCTGCCCAGAACCCTCTACCCCAGATGTCCACATGGCTTTCCCCCTCTTCTCTTTCAATTCTCTGCTAAAATGTCACCTCCTCAAAAAGGCCTCCCTTGACCAGTCTGGTTAAGACAGTACTGAGTAGTCAGAAAAACGCAGTATTTTCATATCCTCAAAACGCATGTGTGATAAATAACTCCCTTTGCTGCTATGATCTTGATTTTAGATCTTCCCACTTACTGGGCACCTCCTGGGTGTGCAGACTTTATGCTGAACACTCTGCAGTCTTCATAGGCACCCGTCAAGGGAAGTAGTTTTGTTCTTCTCATTGCGCAGATCAGGACAGTCAAGTCAAGGCTCCGGGAGCCGGGGTATTTTGTTTTGTTTTGTTTTTTAATATTTATTTTTGAGAGAGAGAGAGGGACAGACAGAGAGCGAGTGGGGGAGGGGTGGGGAGAGAGAGAGAGAGAGAGAGAGAGAGAGAGAGAGAATCCTAAGCAGGCTCTGTTCTGTCAGTGCAGAGCCCAAGGCGGAGCCTGAACTCACAAACATGCGAGAGATCGTGACCTTCACCTGCGCTGAAATCAAGAGTCAGCTGCTCAACCGATCCTCCCCCCCCCCCCCCCGGGGGGCCCCCTGGGAGGTGTTAATTGCCCAAGGCCACCCAGCTAATAGCATATCTGCCAACGGAATCACAGGCTGGGTCTGACCCAGCACCGACATTTCCAAAGGGAAGGCCAGAGGAGGGCCATAGTTCGCTCAGGGCTGACACAGGGGGCAGATGGTCAAGCGGCCTTGAGCTCAGGCCTGATCATCCCAGGGCTGGTCCACCCCTCCAAGCATCTACCCTTCCTGAGACCCTCCAGGACCATCGCAAGAGGTTGGCTGGGCTCCAGGTGATTCTTGTCACACACATAATAATACTGGAGTTGGAGGCTGGGACAAGATTCTGGGACACATCCTCCAACCTGCGCCGGGCACTGTGGGAAGTTCGGGATTTACATGAAACATGAAATGGAGGTGGGGGGAGGGTGGGCTCTGGGATTCCTACCTGGATCTCGAAAACTAAAATGCCAGCCATCTGAGCCACTATGATCTGATAGGAGTCCCCAGGGAAGTTACTTGGCCCAACGTCACTCCACCCACCTTGACTTCTACCTTGACTTCTCTGCACCAGGCCCTCCAGGAACCATCTAGAAAACCTCCTTTGCTTAGCCAGACCAACATCACATGGCCTTTCCTTTGCCAGGGCCAGAGGCCACCCCCTTCCATGCCTCTTTTTGTGGGGGCACCATCTCTGCTGTCTGAGGGCTCAAAGACCCTGGAGAGTCACCGAGCATCCAGGCACCTTTTTCACCCGTGGGTCACAGGGAGGTCTCTGCTTAGTCTTGACTTGTTGCAGGGTCAAGGGCATTGGGGACCACTCATTCTCTGTAGGGGGCGTCCAGGGCACTGGGGGGTATTGAACAGCTGCCCTGGCCCTACCTACTCAATGCCAGTAGCTCCCCTCCCCCCAGCTGTGACAGCCACAAATGTCCCTGGACACCACCCAGTGCCCCCTGGGGAGGCAGAATTGTCCGGGCTGAGAGCCCCAGCCTTGCGCCTGCCCTGGTTTCTGATTCACCTTTTGTGAACTTGGCCTGGGGAACCATCCGTGCCTTTTCCTTCTTCCTGGTGGGGGCCACCTCTGTCCCCTGCCTTCCCACCTCCCCCTGCCTCCCGTGAGCTTTGAGGACAGGTCCGACCCCTGCTCCTCTCCTATCACTACCTGCAGTGCGTTTTCTTCATGGAAGTCTGAAGTCCCTTGAATCAACAAGTACATTCTCTTCTTTGCTAGAACGTGCTCCCGACCCATGCAGGAGGCTTGCACGAAGTAGGAGACGTGGCCAATTTTGCTGGCGAAGGTAGAAGGAAGCCTGGGAGGTAAGTTGAAATGGAAGTCAAAGGTGTGGCTGCCTGCACTTAACCAATGATCTGAAAGCAAAACACACCAATGCCATCAGAAGGTTCTAGAATCTTTTTTTTTTCTTCCCCCCACTTTTTATTTATTATTTTGGCAAGGGCTTTGTTCTGGGCCTGGCCCGCCCATCCCTGAGCTAGGCTGAGCTCTGTGCTTTTAGGGCTCTGCATGGTCTACAGATCTCAGGCCTAGGCCTCAGCCGGGCTGGAGGGGGATGGCCCCGGGCGGGTGAGGTGGCTGGGGTGGTCACCCCAAGCTACCCACGGGGATGTGCTCACCGCTACTCTGGATCTGCAAAATTGGAGGTCCTGCCTTCAGACACGCATTCATTCGTTCAACAAACACGCTTGGGCTCATGCTTTGGGGGGGGGGGGGGGGGGAATGCTGGGCAAACAGAAAGGCGGGCCCCCCCCCCCGGGGGGGGCCTGGGTGGGGACTGTTTGCTTGCAAAAAGTAACACTTATGACGCCTTCCTGTGTGCCCCACGCTAGTCTAAGCCCTTCGTATACCATTAGGTCACTAAGTCCCCAAAACAATCTTTTTCCAGATAGGTTAACTGAGACACGGAGAGGCAACACGGCTGCTGGCCAGTAAGGCCTGGCATGGGGCCGTTCCTGCCCCAGAACCTTCTTTTTCCTTTTTTTAATTAAAAAAATGTTTTTAAAGTTTGTGTATTTTTTGAGAGAGAAGTAGAGTGTGAGCGGGGGAGGGGCAGAGAGAGAGAAAGAGACACAGAATCGGAAGCAGGCTCCAGGCCCTGAGCTGTCAGCACAGAGCCCGATGCGGGGCTCGAACCCACGAACCACAAGGTCGTGACCTGAACTGAAGTCGGACGCTTAACTGACTGAGCCATCCAGGCGCCCGCCCCTACCATTCCGACCCCTAGAAATCTGCACAGCTGGTGTCCCTCCCATCGCTCAGTAGTCACCTCTTTGAAGGGACCTCCGTGACCTCCCTACCTAAAACTTTTAAAATTCTAGAATGAAACTTTGTCTAGCTGAGCATTGGCCAAGAGTTGTGGAACACCCGGGAACACCCCCGTGAACACATTTTGGAAAGGACATGTAGCTCCAGGGCAGCTCAGCCTCCCTGGTGTCTGTCCAGACTTTGGATCTGAACCTCGTGGAGTCGGGGCCGAGTTATTCTTTCCCTAGAATGTCTTCCCTGCCCCTCTCTCTTTCCCGGTGACCATAGGACTCCTTATCTTTGTCTCCTCGGAGTTCACTGCTAGAGGGAGATTCATCTGTAAAATCACAAGAAAGATTTTTTTACTGGCCTCCCAAAGTGGTCATGGGGCTAAGGATAGCATTTTCCAGGGGCGCCTGGGTGGCGCAGTCGGTTAAGCGTCCGACTTCAGCCAGGTCACGATCTCGCGGTCCGTGAGTTCGAGCCCCGCGTCGGGCTCTGGGCTGATGGCTCAGAGCCTGGAGCCTGTTTCCGATTCTGTGTCTCCCTCTCTCTCTCTCTTCCCCTCCCCCGTTCATGCTCTACCTCTCTCTGTCCCCCAAAAATAAATAAACGTTGGAAAAAAAAAAAAAAGGATAGCATTTTCCAGGGGAACGACTTTGATAGTCCATTTCGAATAGCTGGGTCCTGCTCAGCTCTTCCTGTCTTGTTATTTTCGTGTTGTGAGTATCTGATGGTCATTGTTATACATAGCCTCCTTCCTGGGGAGGAACCAGGCCTCTGCCCCTGTCTGGTATCCCTGGGGGTTTGTTGATCAACTAACACATGCGTTTACCTTCCAGACCCAGCTTCCTATCATGGCTAGAGTCGGCTGCTGGCTTGGTCCTTACCCTCTACTGGGAATGTCTTCGTCTTGTGCACATAGTCGTCCTTGTTGCAAATAACATCCCTGCTATAATCACGGGATGCCCCGATTTCTTCATTCCACTCCACGTAACCCCTTCCCACGAGCTCCACCTTCACCATGGGGTTCACCAGGGTGCTGTTCAGTATGAGAACCACCTGCCCTTCTATGCTGGAGCCGGCCGGGTAGACCACATCCTTGGGCAACACTAATTCGATCGACTTCACCACAGACATGGGGGGTTGGGGTGGTGGAGGAACATCCTTGCCCCTCCCCCATGACACTGAGATCCCCGGTTCCTTTGCCGCGGTGAGGTCACCTGTCTGTGACATCATCCAGCCAGGGTTCTGGGAAGGGGCCTCCAGTGGCCGGGAGGGGAGACGAGGCTGTTGTTGGGGGGGGGGGGGGGAGGTGGGACGGCTTGGGAATTCCAAAGTCCTCACTGGTTAGGGAAATGACAACCTGACCACTTTTTCCTAGGAAATAACAAATGAATACGCAAAAACAGCCACAGACCCTAACATTCCTGCCACACTGGGAGCGCCTGTCATCGTGCCAGGAGGCCAGAGGCCTGGGTGGGAAGAGTTCTCACAACATTCCGGTAAGGTAGGCATCATGAGCTCTGCTTAGAGATGGAGAGGAACGAGGAACGAGCCCCAAGGGATTTTCTGCTCTGTCTGATGGCCCCCATGTGCGGTACGCGCGCTTCTCAGGGTTCATCCGCTGGTTAGGCTCACCCGCTTCCGTTGTCATTTTAATGGCTATTTACCCCAGTCGGAAAAAAATTATGGATATGGCCAGGGTACGAAGTCTGGTGTGTCCCGATCGAAGACGCTTAGAGTGTCGTGTGCTCCACTTTGCACGAACACCCTCTCACCCATCTGACACTTCCCTTTACACCCGTGTCTCCCCCATCGAATGGGAAAGTCCCTCCAGGGCGGGAGGAACTTTGTGCACACCCACGTCGGCTTGGCTCCAGGCCTGGTTCAGACAAGAGGGGTGTCAGTAAAAGTTTGTCGAGCGACGTAATGACCTTCAAGAATATATGATTTTGCAAAAAAGGAGACCGAGGCCTTGTGCCCCCCCTAACGGTTTTCTTGGTGCCTGATCTGCGCGTGGGCTGATGCCTAAGTGGGAGGGCCGCTGGAGCACGAGAGTTGCCACGAGAGGTCCGTTCTGCAGAGTCCGGCAGGCCTCATTCGTGGTCTTTGCTGTGTCTTGCTTTATTTTACACGATGTCTTCTGTAGACGTTGCCGTCTTGTCTCCTAAGCGGTTTGTCAGCTCTTGGAGATGCTCGGCTAAAATCAAGGTGTTCTGGGATTCCGGGGGAGACTCTTGCCCTATTCCTTGCCTGTTGACCTCATCATTCCAACCTCTCCTTCCCCGGTCACTTCTCCTCTGACTTGGCCCTTCTGCCACTCTCTTTCACTTATTAGGACCCTTGCGATGATTTGGGGCCAGCCTGCACAATCTAGAATAATCTCCCTCACCTAAAGACCTTTAATGTAATTTAATCTGCAAACTTCCTTTTGGCATGGAAGCTACCGTATTCACAGGCTCCAGGGATATCTTTGTGGGGGACACGAGTCTGTCTGCCACCTGGGGACATAACAGAAGGGACTCTGCTCACTGCCTTCCCATGCCGCTCAAGACACGAAGACCAAAGTCCTCCTGGTGGCCCTTGAGGCCCCAGGTGACATCTCTCTGACCTCATCCCCTCTGTGCCCAGCTACGCTGGCCTCTTGGCTACGCTCCCCACCCCCATTTCTAAGCCTTTTCCCGCCTCTGAGCTTGGCCGTGCCTCCTCGACCCATCTGTCCTTGGTTTCTATCTCAGATCGCAGCTCAAATGTCATCTGTTCAGAGAGGCCACCTCTCCACCTCAACCGGAATGTCCTCCCTGCCCACTCCCACATGCCTCTCCGGCCACTGTCCTGGCTTTGCTGCAAATAGAATCTGAAATGATTAGCTTGCTTTATTTATTTATTTATTTATTTGTTGCCTGTCTCTCCAGACAAGAATTTACCCGTCTGGAGACCACCAACGGGGGTCGGCCTTGCCCATTGTTGGGCCCCCCAGCTCTGAACACCGTGTCCAGGCGCTTTGTAGGTGCCCAGCATGGGTCACTGTGTGCCCGCCAAGACTGGCCAGAGCAGAGCAAGCAGGGCGGAGGGGGCAGGGCAGTCCTGCCCGCCTGGACAGCCGGAGAAGGCGGGAAAACGAGGCGGGAAAACCCAGCAAACAAGCCCTGCGGGTGGGGAGCTCCAGCAGGCCCTGACGCCAGGAAATAGAGCTTGGGGCGATCAGGCTGGCCATCGGGGTGCAGGCGGTCTCCAGAGGGGCCCCAACATCCCACTGCGGTGTTTAAACATTGATTCCGGCCTTCCTTGCCCTACTGTCAGTGAGTGCCCGTGCCCGGGGAGACGGGCTGTGGGAAAGGAATTAAAAGGTCAGGGGGTCTTTACCCGGGGTCCCTCCCTAGGGCTCCTGAGGGACGCACGTAGTTAGGGGGGCCCAGCTCCCGCCACCGGGCCGGGTTGCACACTGGGCGCGCCCAGCAGAGCGCGCAGGGCTGGGCGGGGCCGTGGCCGGCTGGGCGGAGTGGGGCTGGATCGGGGAGGGGGCGCCCCCCACCCCCTTTCTCGCTTCCCGCCACTGCAGCGGCCAATCACCAGGCAGGCACCCGCCCCTGGCGCGGCCTCCCGCGGCCCCGCAACTCCCAAACGCCGAGTTTTCGCGGGAAAAAAAATCAGAGCAGCTGGCAGCGCGGCGGGCAGTGGTGACCGTCCAGGGCGCTCCGGGTTACGGGCAGGTCGGCGCGGGGTCCGGGGCCACACACGCATCTCCATCGCCATCCCCAGCCGGGCCAGGCGCGCAAGCAGGAGAGCGGATCGGGGCGGCCGGAGAGGTGAGCCTCCGGACGGATCGGGGTGCCAGCCCGGGCCGGGGGGTGGGGGGAAGGGCTCGGTGCACCGGGCGCGGAGACTTTGGAAAACTTTCCCGAGCGGCCCGGGGGCGTGCGGCCAGCACGGGCGCACGCGTGCCCCGCGGCGTGGCTGCTGTGCACGCCGTCTCGGGCTCTTCCCCCGCCCCGCCGGCCCTCGGGAGTCGTCCTTGGCAGCCCGGGCGCTGCCCGGGGCGAGGGGAACGTCCCCAGAGCCCCGCGGGGGTCGCGCCCGCTGGGTGGGGGAGGGCCTGGTGAGCCGCAGGGGAGGATGTCAGGCTCCGCGCCTGCGCGCGGGGCGCCCCGCGATTCAATTGTCGCGCCCGAGCCCGATTTCGCGCGCCCTTAGTTCCCCGGGCGCGCCTGGGCCAATGGGGAGCGAGCGGGGCGGGGCAGCCGGGCGCGGCGGAGCCAATGAGCGAGGCGGCTCAAGTGAAGGGGGGCGGGACTTGGCGCGCGGGGCCCCTCGGCCGGTCCCGGCGGTGGGGGTGGGCGTGGGCTAGTTGGCGTGGCCCGAGCGGACGGGCGGGAGAATAAGAGAGGCTCAGAGTCCGTGGGTCGGAGTGCCGGGAGCGCGAGACTGCCCGCGGGGCCGCGGTGGGGCCGAGGTGAGTCGCGCGGCGCGCGCGGGGGCGGCCGGGACGGGGCGGCCGGTTGCCATGGCCACCCCGCACCCGGCCGACCAGACCCGAACACCAACGCCCAGGCAAAGACTCTAGAGCTCCCTCGCCCCTGGACCACGAAAAGCCCGGCACTCCGACCCAC